TTCTGCACTGATCAGAGCATGTTTTCCCCACATATCAAGGTCTGTGACAGTGCTGAGCAGCAGAGATACCTGCTAGGAAGGGTAAATCTGAACTCCAATAGACAAACATCTGTGGCTTCCTTGCAGGTGAGAAATAAAATAAACCCACAAGCTCTGTTTCAGAGCAGTGTGCTTAATTTGATTTTTATGGGTTTGATAGCAGATTACAGTAATGCTATCACAAAGCCTCACAGCCACAGTCACAGTGGACAGTGTGATTTCAACACCTCCTCCACTAATCTTTTTGCCCACTGCTCCCTTTCCCTGGCTGCTAATTTCACACAGGCACTTAAACATGATGGATAATTGTGTTCTGCTTATCAATGTTTAATTTAAGGGCTGTTCCATCTGACCTGGATGCCCTCTGCAAGAGCTATGCCTCATTATTGATTTCATGGTCACACCTGTGACATTACCTGCTTTGTAGGAAGTAGACTTTGACATTCCTGTGAGGTTTTGGCAGCCAGAGATAATTGTCAGAAGAATAATCGAGTCAGCAAAATCATTACAGGTGATCTGTGTGTTACCACTGTTTTATCTGCCTCTAATTAGGTGCAGGAGTGGTAACTCATAGCAGTAAGCATGCTGCAATGGTTTTGATGTCTGCAAATAAAGCTCGATGAACACAGGAGGGAAGTTATTCATTAACAGCTGTGCTCCAGCTTGCCCACGTCTTGTGCCGGGGCCATATCCTTTCCTGGAGTAACCAGGAATCTGGATACGATCACATGCAGACTGTGGGCACTGCTGGGGTGCAAAACCTGAAGCACATTTAGGATGGAGCAAAGGATGGTGCATGCTCTTGCTATTTCTGGATGGAGCACGCCTGCTCTGCATTCAGCATGGTAGAGGCGACTGTAAGGCAGAGGCTGGGGACGTGGGATGGGGAGGAAGGTCCAAGGCTGCTGCCCCAGCTTTAGTCTCCTCCAGACTTTGGAAGTCAGCTGTGTAGGTGACAGGTACACTGAGTTCTTAATAATCACTGCGGATAGCTGGCTTTTATAATTTCATTGCACCTGTGGGAAAAGACAGGAGTGGATTAATTCCTTCCTCCTTTGTTATGGCTGTAACCAGGCTGGGACATGGTAACAACAGAGGTGCAGTGCAGAACAGTACGTCGTATGCAATCACACTGAATTCTTTTTTCAAGAGGAGCTCATCTCCAGTTGAGGTGCTGCTCTGCTCCTGATGCCACTGTTGCCAGTGCGACATGCATCCCAGTGGGTTGGGGCCAGTGGTCCTTGAAGGTCTGTTCCAACAGAAACACTTCTGGTTCTCTGAGTCTCTTGAGGTCTTCTTCCTGCTGTCAGCGTTGTGAAGTCAGTCAAAAGTTTTCCTTACAATAATGACTGGAACAACAAGGGTGGTAGTATCAAAATCTGCAGTTGGCAAAGGAAGAACTTGTCGTAGAGGAAGGAGATTTTTCAGAGAAGTCAGTTTTGGTAATGAGTTTGGCTTCTGTGCTCCATGTGTGTCCTGCCTGCTTGAGACCCTGCCTGCTTCTGGCTTCCAGTGGAGAAGCCCCGCTGTGCTGGGCAGGATGTGAGGTGTGCACTGCCTCGGGTGCCCATTTCAGAGCCCTTCCTGTGTGAGCAGGTCTGTGGCACAAGCGTGTGTGTGAAGGATTCACCAAAATGGAAAAGCTGGTTCTTACTGTACTGGTTATCTATTCTCTGCTTGAACCTGTATCTGGAGGAATGGGACCGTACTGTTACTGTGGACCCAGTGCACTGCCCTGTCTTTGTATTCCTAGGCTGATGGCAACCTCAGTCTGCTGCAAACATGAAAAGTGGGTGGGAGATGATGCATGGACAACCCCTGGGTCTTCTCAGGAAGAAACATTACAAGTCCTCTATTGCAGAGAGTCTGTTCTATTGCATTGGCAAAAGGGCTCCTGAGCTAACCCCCAACACCTGAACCCTCTGCATTTTCTAATGCGTCCTTTGCAGTAATTAATTACCTCTCCAGTGCATTCATTTCTTTCATACTGTTACTGGCAATCAGTTAGATAAAGGGGAAAAAAAACATGTTGGTGCCCTGTGGTATTGGAAGTGAAGGGTTTTCACACTGTCAGGGTAATGAATTCTGCAAGGGTTTGAAGTACCTGAGCTTGGGGAAGTCCTTGTGTCATGTGTCTAGGAGTGACAACCCCCAGTGGTTAATTACTGCCATGGATGAGACTTGAGCTGATAGCAAAATGAGATAATTTCATTAGTAGTTAAGTGTGAAGTTAATTGGACTCACATTTACACACAGCAGTGTACAAAGACACAGTTGGAAATGCTCTTCACCTCTTTTCTTTAACAGAAGGTAAGTAAAATGAAGAATGTTTCTGAACCCCTCCCTCATTCTTCCTCCCACTGTGGTTTGGGGATGAGGGAGGCAGTTTCCACTGCACGCTGCCAGGCCGTTATCTTGTGCAGGGGTGCAGACCTGCCCATGTCCATGACCTGACCATGCTGCTGGCCATGCTGCTTGGGGAGGGTGTTGCTGACTTCTCCCGCTGCTGGTTGCAAAATAATTTCTTTTATGGAAGAAAATTACTTATTTGCACTTTTTCTGGGAAATGATAATTTGCTGTCAGTGCCAGCACGCCGTCAGCTCGCAGTGAATGGAAGGACGGACATTCATTGCGTATCTGCTGTGTGCAGGGCCAAGCACTTTGACACACATCTGCAGCCCCTGGTCCCACTGCGCCAGTTGATATTGTTGTTATTTAGCATCATTATATTTTACTTTCTGGAGGAATGTAGAATGAATTCCAGCAGGAATAAGCCTCAAAATGATGTGCAGCGTTTCATCCCTGTAGCAAGCTCAAGATGGACACGTTTACTGACTGGATTAGACCAGCGTGTTCCTTGTTGCAGGATACTTTGTTGGGAAACGTCTTCTAAATGTCACATTACTTGGCGTGCTGCAGCACTTTAATCCATCAGACTTGTGACAGCCTGCTAAGGAAGTGGTGGATTTTTTTCTCTATTGAGGAGATGGAACAGCCAGGATCACCTCCAGATGTGATCCTCTTCTAGTCCACATCTTCCTGCACCTTTGCATTTTCAGAGGAGGGTTCTTTGTCTGTATGGCACTCTGACAAGGGCTGTGGAGTGCAGATAATTCTGTATTCATGCTTTTCTGTTCAAACATTACTTCTGGGTTGACTACTGTTTTTGTCCTATGCCAGTCAACATTCTTTGAACTGGTTCCTGGTTGACTTGCAGTTCTGGTGGGTGATGACAGTTGGCTGTCTGGTTTGTGGAAATAGGATACTGTAGGAAAGTGGTGTGCTGTTTGACACTAGTGCCATCCACACTCATGTGAAAGCATCCCATCCTCTCAGCTGTGTCTCCTCAACTTCCCCTCCCTTCCCCTCCCTTATCCTAAGTGTCTGTGACAAAGGCAAAAATTATACACAGATGAGAAAGAGCTTGCTTGGGACCTGGGAATCATGGAATTGCAGAATTATAGAATGGGTTGGGTTGGAAGGGACCTTAAAGAACATCGAGTTCCAACTCCCATGCTGTGGGCTGAGTTGTCACCTGCTTGAACAGTGTTTGGTTGAATTTTGCCTTTGTGGAAAGGCTGGGGGAGCAAATGAATCCCTGGCATGTGATGGGTTGGAGTCCACATTGCAGACAGACTTCAGGGTACTCCCCAGTGGCATGAAGGAGCCCAGTGAGGAGGCGGACCCCAGCGTGCAGCACGCTGCTCTGAATATTCACCCTCAGGGATATTGTGGATGGAATAATTTCATGGCCTTCAGGACTCTCTCCCTTGCTGAGAGGATCAGAAGCAGTTAGTTAGTTATCTGCAGAATGTAACCAAGTGTTTGTCAGCTAATCAGTGACCTGGTTTAGGCCAAGCATACAGAGTCCATTATGCTGCTCTAGCCCCTCAGTCTCACTTTCCATTTGAGGAAAAAAAAAGAAAAGCTGGTTGTGTCTCCAGCCAGCACTGTAGCAGTGGTTGCTGGTGGGTCTTGAACATCTCAGAGGAGGACACTCCACAACCTCTATGGGCAGCCTGTGAAACTGAAGCAAGTGCAGCCTGAGTGATCTCCTCCATGGTGTGGGCTCAGTAGCATCCAGATGACATTTGAGCCAGGAGACAGGGGACAAACCCCTGCTGCAGGTGGCACACAGAACAGGGTCCCTTTTTCCTCCCCTGCCTGGAGATGATCTGCACTGTGGGAGATGCAGTCTTGGCAGGGTGCGGCCATTGCTTCCTCTGTGCCTTTGGTGAAATATCTACAGCTGTGGGCCCAAGGGCTGTGTGGAGCTTTGCCTGGAGCTGGGTTTGAAGCAAGGGCACCTCAGCACTCTGGATGAGAGGTATGGTGAGGTGGGGGACAGCCCATAGCTGCTTTCTGCAGCGTTGTGTGCGGACCCCAATGACAGAAGGTTTCCCTAGCATCAGTGAGGAGTACTGCATCAGGCTGTGAACTGCCTGCTCTTTTGCTGGAACATCAGCTGTGTTTTGGAAATTAATTCATGTCCCAATGTGTGTGTGTGTGTGTGTGTTTCCCTAAATGACTTTAACTGAAGATGGAAATAATGCTTTTATCACATTTAGATCTCTGCAATCCATCAGCTCATACAGTGTAATTTTCTGGAGAGTTTCCTGGAGAAGTGCAGTTGAAATAAGCATTATTTTACAAACTTTGACTTTACAAAGCTGAACTTTGGAGAAACTTGGGAGCAAAAGGAGAGCAGTTGGAGTTCAAAACAGGGCTTCATCTCCCCGCTGGAATCTGTTCTTCCCCTCACAAGCCCTCACTATGCCACAGCATGATGGCAGCTGGTAGAGTAAGCAGAACTGTTTCTCCTCTCTCCAAACAAGCTAGCAGCTGCTTGCTGACGCTTGCGGAGCTGTTGTGACAAACAGGTCTCTGCAGTCAGGAAGGTATAGGAGCATGTCTGCCAGCGGTGATGCTCACGTGATGATTTGTTGGTTTGATTCCTCAGGTCGCGAGCTGGCAAGCACAACCCTCCCAGGATACCCTCCGCACGTCCCCCCTGCTGGACAGGGCAGCTATTCTGCCCCTGCGCTGACAGGAATGGTGCCTGGTGAGTCTGCAAAATGAAGGGGGGTGGAGAGGCGGCAGAGGTGTCCCACTGTGTCGGTGGGAGCTGAGTGCTCAGGGTCTGGCAGAGCTTGGCTCGTGTCTGTGTCACACAGTGCAGTGCTCACTTGGTAGTGGCTGAGCATGTGCACACAGCTCTGAGCAGGATGGTGACATTTGGGCGCTGGCAGCAAGCAGCAGGTGAATGCCTGGTGCTAGGGAGTCTGCATGGGCTTGCTCCTGTCTGAGCACAGGGGGCCTAGTGCTGCTGGAAATCAGTGTTCTCATTTCAGCCTGAAATAAACAATATCCCCAGGCCCTGCTGTCTTTGATTTGGGCATGACAGACATTGCTGTCTACAAGGGAAAGAAGTATTCTAAGCACTAAACTTACATGTTAAAATTCATGAATCTGGACCCTAATCATAGAATGGCCTGGGTTGAAAAGGAGCACAATGCTCATTCATTTCAACGCCCCTGCTGTGCGCAGGGTCACCAACCAGCAGCCCAGGCTGCCCAGAGCCACATCCAGCCTGGCCTTGAATGCCCTGCAGGGATGGGGCATCCACAGCCTCCTTGGGCAACCTGTGCCATTGCCTCACCACCCTCTGTGTGAAAAACTTCCTCCTAAAATCCAACCTAAACCTCTCCTGTCTCAGTATCGTATGGTTTGAAAATGAATGGGTACTCGGAGATTCTTTTTCTTTCCCCTACTTGTTGCTTTCCAAGCCTTTAAGGTCCTCTGAGATTGTCACTTTGGAGTCAGCAAGGTCCAACAGTTATTGAAGAAAATCTCCCACAGTGGAATTTCATATGTAGTCACATGGCTTCAGGAGATGGTGGTTTGGAAAACAGCTCTCAGTAAGCAAGCGGTAGTCAATGGTAATTATTTATTGTCCTGGCTATTTTGGGATTCGTATTTTTGTCCCAAACTGATTATAATCTGTAATATGTGTTCCAGCCGATCACTGAAAAATTAAGAAAAAGAAACAGCCATTTTACTTGTGCTGGTTATGGAAGCTAGGTCAGAGGTTAAGTTGAAATAATTTTTACCCATCAAATATAATTTTTGGAAAGTTCTTCATTTCTTGTAAAGATCCGAATGCAGGTCTGAAAGGTTTGACTCCTTGCTGCATGCTATTTCTCAAGGACACACAAAGTTACTAGTAAGCTTTTCCATCCTCATTGAGGCTGTTCTTACTTCAGAGGCATTGCCAGCTGCTTAGATCAGCTGAAGGTCTGCACTTCCATTAACTTTTTAACATGGCTGTTACACTTTGAGCATTTGGAGCACCAGGATCAGTTAATCACGTGTGTCAGGCAGGCCATGGAGATGTATGGGCAAATGAGGGTGCTGTGCATGAACCTGCTGTTACATACACAGCTTAGAGATGTAGCGCAGCGAGTGGGAAGCAGGTTCAGCAGTGTCTGATGTCCCATCCTGCCAGTCCCCTCAGCTCTTGCTCGGGCTCTCCTGTGCTGGCTCTTCACCAGAGCCCTGAGCCCCTGCTTTTCTCGAGGCTCATTCTGCCACTGAGGGTAAACCTGAGGACAAGGAAGGCAAGGGGGAGGTCGGCCTCATCTGGCATCTGCAGCTGCCAACTTACCCGTGGGAAGTTTCAGACAGCTTATGTGCACCTGAGAGTGATGATCTGGAGACTTTTAGAAACCTTGTGGGAATCCATTGCCTTCGTTTGGACTTACACCCAATATGCAGCTCTGAGTCTCTGTCACCTCCCAGAGGCTTTACTCTTCCTTTTCCTTTTGGTGGATGCCGGGGAATGGATGTGTCCATGGTTGCCACCTGTTTGGGCACACCTGCTGGAGCAGGACACAGAACTGTGAGAGTGATGGTCATGGCAGAGCTCAGCACAAGGAAATCCAGAGGGGGTTCGGTGATGTACGGTCATCTGAGCCAGTTTTCCTGGGTAATAGATTTTATTTTTAACTACACATAGGCCTCTGTGACCCGTTACATTGAATAACTGCACTGTTCCTCTCACTGGTTCCTTTAATAACAACCTTCTGCTCCAGCTAGTGTGAAGGTCAGCTGCAATTTCTTCAGGTTTGCTTTCTCATTTAAGTGAGAATTTGCTAACTAGCATCCCAAACATCTTCCCAATTCTTCTTTGCCTCTTGTCATTTGCCTGGCTGGGGAGAGCATCCAAAGCCAGCTGTCAGATCAGGGCTGGGGCCACAGAACATCCGTGGTAGTTCTGATACAGACACGTTGCCATGACCAAGCCTGTGTGCATCTGTTTTCCCTTTTCACAGGGATTTACTTTGTGACCTGCTGCTTCCTTCTCATAGTTTTCAGAGCACTTGCTAGAAATATGCTTCCTCAATAAGTTTTTTAATTGTAAGCCACGAATTTCTGCTCATAATTATTTGTGAGAGCGAAGTAGTTAGAGGTGTGGGAGCAACAGATCCATGGTGAGATGTAAAGGGTTCTGTTCTGCCTCCTGCAGACATTGCTTGTGCTGCAGTGAGTTCACTGGTTCCTCACTGCACTGCTGGTGCTTGCCTCATGTCTGTGGTGTCCGCCTCACATGGTGCGTGTGAAATGTGAGGGAAGTGTCTGAGCCCCTTGGTGTTTTCACCAAGCATGCATGGATTCAGCTCCTTGTTCTCTTCTTACTGTTCTTCCCACCTCCCTGCTCTCCATCTGAACAAGAAAGGCTCCCCACTATCAGCCTGTCCTGACTCTCCATCAGCAGGACCCTCCCACAGGAGCATCTCCCCTCTTCACCTGCTGCATGGCCACTGCAGGCCCTGTTGCATGCTATGGCATGGAGCTGCTGGTGGACAGCTGGATGGGAAGACAACTGGTGGGATGCTTGAGCTTGGAGAGCGATGGTTGGTGCCAAGCTCTGCCTGCACGCTGGATACAAGTACAGCACTGTGACATGCATCCAGGAGTCCATCCTATGTAATACCTTTATCCATGCACACGAGGCACAAGGGAAGGCAATACATGTTGACTGAAACAGATGGAGATAGGATACATGGGAAGGCTTCAAACTTCCACCCATCTGGATATCTTCAGATGCCTGGAGAAGCTGTTTTGTCTCTGTCTTTGTGGGTTTTCCAGTCCTGAGCACCCTGGTCTGGCTCTTTGCTCACTGTGTTGTGTGCAGGGCCAGGAGATCTGCTGCAGTCTTGTGCAGCAGAATTACCCCATCATTATGTGACACTGTGTTTTGGTTACAGCGCTGCTGAAAACACATCACAGAATCAGGAACTGTTGAGCTTCTTTTTGGCATAATGATCAGAGCTGTAGCAGGAAGTGGCTGTCTGAGAACCAGTGTGCTAGCAGTCCACGCAGGTACACGGGAGTGAGAGCTCTGCTCTGGATTAGAGCTGCTGTTGAACAACAGAGGTGTGGATCGCCTTCAGGATCTCGATGGAGGCTTCTGGCAGTGGCCTTGTCACAGGACAGAGACCGATGGCTCCATGAGGACCTGAAGAAATTGCCCTCTATCCTTCTCCCACCCTTGACCGTTGTGCCCTCTTGCAGCCCCCTGAGGTGCAGCTTCTGGACCCACTGAGACCTCCTGTCTGCCTGCACCCTGTGCCTGGGTGCTCTGTGCTCAGCAGCTCAAGCTTGCCCATAGCTCTTCTGGCCCTGGTTTCAAAAGTGCTCAGATAACACCCCGTTACCCTCTGTGTCTTCTCCACTCTTTCCTCTCTCCTTGTCTTTGGGATGAGCCCTCTCCCGTGCCCTGCCTTCCCCAGGGCTGTCATTCACAACGTCCTCCAGGGGCCTTCAGCACAGGCTGACAGGAAAGGGTACAGCATCCAGAATAGCGATGCTGAAAATACAGTCATTAATGGGACTCCTGAAACCCAGATGTCCTTTCTGAGCACCGGTAATTTGTTTTTAATGAAAAACCATGCAGTGACCCTGAACAAATGAATTTCCTTTATATGAAGTCCATGTGCAATTACCCAACTAAAGGGACCTGAAAACACTGACATTCAAAACTGGTCTTTGAAAAGTATAAAAATAGCAATAGTGCCACTTACAATTTTTCATCAAAAAAAAAAAAAAAAAAAGAGGCTCATCCTGATGAGCAAAGCAGAAATGGTGTCGGGAGGAAAAAAACAACACATGGTTTTTAGAAGAATTTTTCCTTGCGATTAGTGGGTATTAATGCAGACAGGCCACATTGTGTATCTTTTCTCTGCTTGGTCTATTTCTCCCATCCAGTCCTGGATGGGAAAACACCCTCTGTCAACCTGCTTGGTACACAGTGATCTTTTACAAGGAACAGAAGCACAGGTGCTGTGTTGAGGCTGGGATCAAAAGACAGGAATGAGCGAGCAGCTCCTGCACTGAGCCTTCAGGGACAGGCTTCCCTACAGACTGAAACCTTTTGGTCATAGCTATCATTGTATATCCGTGCTATTTGTCCTGACTCTGCCCATGCCAAACTCATGTGATGGTGTGAAGCAGTAAATGTGACAGGAAGGGAGGTGGGAGGTAACACACTGACAAACAGGGTCTGACGAAGAAGTGTGTGTGGTTTGGTAGAGGCCATCAGTGTCAGAGCCGGAGGACAGCCCTGCACTGTCCTGATGGACTGCATGAGCTGAACTGGCTGCCTACTGGAACAGTGGAGCTGCTGCCACCAGTAAAACAGAAAGGAAAATCAAGCTGAAAACAAGGAATGAACCTTGGCATTCCTCTAGTGGGGTGGAGAGCAGCAAGTTGTCTCCTTAGAGCTTGGTGATGATTTCTGAAGCTGTTTGCCATCTGCTTCGCTTGCTTCATACACTGAGATCTCAACAAGGATTTTTGTCCCTGTGCTGATTATGATCACTGACTTTGTGCCAGTATCCTGGCTTTGCACAGCTCTGCTGTAGGCTGGATCATACTGCGCTCATTTCCATCGTCCCCCTGTGCCCTGCTGTGCCCTCTGTGGCACTCATCTGTTTGGGGTTCCTGGGGCCAGGGTGCTCAGCAATGCTCCGGTGTTGCTCTGGTGGACTTCAGGCAAATGTG